CCCCGCCCCCCTCCTTAGGATACAAATGAGGGGATTGTGTCCGTGTGGCCGTACTCCCGACATCCTGCGTTCAAGTGCAGGATCCCCAGAGAGTGGTCCCTGGTGGAAGCTGCCAGACTAGGCAATGCCCAAGAACTGGATTTACAGTCTTCTGGAGAAAACGTGGCTGCCACTGCTGAGTGGAAGTGGAAGTTGCTGGTTGCCGTTATGTCAGCTCCAGCTCAGAGCCAACCCCACGGCCCCCAGCAGGACTGCTCCATGGGCGGTTCAAGGCTGGCCTTCTGCAAGCCCACTGCCATGCTCATCCTCTGAGCACGAACCACCAACCTTTCATTCGGCGAGCAGTCCAGGGTTTAGCCTCTTGTGCTACTCAGGGAACTCCACTTAGTGGCAGTGAGGATATTAAAACAATTTCCCCTCTTAAAACCAAAACAAAGCGCATTTTAAACCCTCTGATTTGGGAATGTAATCATATAATTCCTACTTGGCAAAAGGGTACAGTTTGGCTGCAGAACAAAAGGAACTATCTGAATCCAAAGGATTGACTCTTAATCTTTTAATTAGACGAAGCCCTTCAGAAGGAAGCATACTTCATCGTTACTGAGGGAAACCCACAGAGCACGGGGCTGTGACATACATTCACCCATGTGCGTTCCTACATGCCTCAGTGCACTCGTGGGAGCAACACTCCTGGTGTAGGGCTCGGTCTCTGGAGGAATTTATTTGCCAAGGAGAACTATAGCTTGGACCATGAAGAAGGAGTCCTTGGAAGCTGATTGGGGAAGCCTGCTGTGGGAGGGTAAGAGCCAGCACTCCGCGGGCATGTTAAACGACGTGAACACATTGTCTTGAGTCAACGACAGCTCTGATTTCAGGCCAAAGGTTTTTGCCCTGGCGCGCACCGACGTCTCCGTGGCCGGGAGGCCTGGCTGCGGGGATTTATTTGGATCCTTTCTTCTTTTTCTTCTTCTTTTTCACTGGTGTTTCATGTAGCCTAGGGTCCTCTGCTGCCTCCACTGGGCTCTGTAGCTTTTTCTTTGCTTTCCTTTTTAGGGGCTCTGGGATAAGGTCCTGGTTATCAGGTGGCCACACGCAGTCCTCTCCGTTCTCGGGCGAAGATTCGGAGTTCTCGTCACAACCAGGGCCTCTGAGCTGCTGTTCAGCCCGGTCTCTCTTCTTCTTGGCTGCACACTTAGGGTGCTCCTCTTGTTCCTGAGTTTTCTTCTTTTTAGGTCGCTTGGCTTTGGGTTGGGTGCCATTCTCTAAATTGCCATCTTTGTTTCTCTTCTTTCCCCCTCTCCGTTCACTCTGGGCCTCGGAGTGGTTAGGAGCTGACGCTGTGACTTGTGGCTTGTTCTTGAGCTCTGCCATCCTCTTAGCAAAATACTCCTGGATGGTGAAGGCACTGGTCGTTGTCGTGGACGGCTCGTTCTCATCTGGTGTGGCGCAGCTGGACTCCTCCTAAGGGAAGGGAAAATGTAAAACAGTTAAATGTCAACTCTTTACACCTCAAAGTGTCCCAGGAAGCCTCCACAAGTCACCTTCTGCCAGAGTCGATTCTGACTCACGGTGAGCCTTCCAGAGTGGAGCAGAAATGCTCTCCAGGGTTTCAGGACTGTCATGGTGTTACTATCATTCTCCCTTCTAGGGGCTGGTGGGTTTGAACTACTGACCTTGTGGTATGCAGCCCAGAGTGTGGCCCCCTACACCACCAGGGTTCCTTCCACTCAAAATAAGCACCAGGAAACAGGCTCTTAGCTCAACACCCTCTTTTCTCTTTCTCCTCTGCTACATTTGAGCTGCAGAGCCTGGAACCAGGTGGCCATTTGTCTGGGTGAATGAGGCAGTCTTGGAGATACAGACTCAAACTTCAGGAGTTAGCTGGCATATCACGTAGTTGAACTTCTGTGTAAGCATCTCCTCAGGAACTGTTTTATTTCCAAGAGTTTCCCATGGGGGGGGCACCCCAAAACAGAGACACTGGGAGTCTTGAGCTCTGTGATTCTACTGGAAACCCAGGAGTATTTCAGGCACTTTATGGAATGCCCAGGTCTCTCTTTGTGTGTGTGTGTTGACCTAGAATTGAGAGTGCTTGTTAATCCTTCCTATGAGAACAGAATCCAACTTGCAACCTGGAATCTGGGTTGTCAGGAACACCTCCCTCCTCCACTCTGGCAGCTGCTTGGGAGGAGAATGTGCAAGAGCTGGAACCGTGTGTGGGCCATCCTCCACCCAGAAGGGCAGGCGGGCCTAGGAGCCTTTCTTCCCTCAACTGGGGCGGGGAGCAGGAGATGCCCTCCTCACCTCGGCTTTGGCAAGGGCTAGCCTATGTGGCTGTGTGAGGAAGCTTCAAAAAGTTCATGGAAAAATGGAATGAAAAGATCACGGAATTTCCCCTATGGACTTTCTGAAGCCCTGTCATGTTAATCTCATGTTTGCCTTTCAGGCATTACTCATTCTCAACCGCTGGGGTGAACCCCAGGGAGCACTTCTTCTTAGGCCTATAGGATCATTATTTTAGTTTTAAATGAACAGATTTAGCTGCAAGACTTGAAAAGACACAGAAAATGCCAACATAAAAGGTTGAAAGAAGCAATGAAATGTTGGCATGGACATAAAGACTGTGGCTAACAAACAAAACAGAAGGACAACTCAAACTCCCTGCTTTCGAGTCGGTTCTGAGTCCTGGTGGCCCCACAGGGCAGAGTCGAACCGGCCCTGCCGCTTCCAAGACAAACTCCTTCCGGAAGGAAGGCGTAACTCATTAGGCCACCAGGGAGGAGCTCGATGGTGGCTGGCTGGCAGTGAACGGGTTTTCATCATGCGTGTGAAAGAGAAAACAAAGCAAAACACCAAACCTGCCCATAACCCCAACCCACTGTCATGGAGTCAAGCCCAGGCCAGGGACCCATCCGCTAAGAGTCGGGCTGTTCCCTGGGACCTTCCTGGAGGTCAACGTTGGAAAGCGGATCATTAGGACTCTCTCCTGAGATGCCACCGCGTCAGGAAACAGAGCCTTTTCAAAGCATCAAGTCAATACAGGGTACCTGAGTGCTAAGCCGAGGCTTTTATCATTCCACCGGTTCTTTCATAGACGCTTATTTTTACAGGAAGAGACAGTTGTGTCCTTTTCTGTTGGGAAGCGTGGGATTGGGTTCTGAATAGGCCACATATCATTCTGAACTTGGCTGGCAAAGACCCTGTTGTGCAGACGATTGAATTAAAAACAACAATATATAAGTGGTCCTGTGATATTCTTGGCACAGTGGCACTTAAGAACTAGCTCAGTGGAATGAAAAGTAACATCACACTTGACGTCTCAACAGAAGCAATATTACAGACATATATAATTGGGCCTTCCTTGGCAATCGCCCACAGAGCTCTCACCGAAGGGTACCTTATTAACAAAAGCACTGCTCAACGAATCAATATAAACATTTACACTGAGCTAAGAAGACCAGATCATGTGGTCAATTTTGCACGTTCAAAATGTGAAATATGTAGAATAAATTAACTGAGTTCTGGGAAGGAGTTCCAATTTTTTTCTGTTAGCATTCATTTTTGCTGGTGCCCACCAGGTAATTTTTCAGAAAAATAAAAAAAAATAATAAAAAAAAAGCCCTCCACCCCAAGAGTCAAAAACCAGGTCATTGTGCCTTTTTTAATGATTAGAAAACACAGGATCATTTTTTAGTCACTTGTTGAATCCAGTAGGACTGTCTAAACCTCGAAAACAACTATGCGACTCCTAAGCAACCATCGACTCCTATGGTGAGAAGCTCTTCAACAACCCCGGCCACTGCACACCAGGCTTAGTGGGGCATGGAGACAAGCAAGGGAGGGGCCAGCCCCAAATCCCATTTGTCCCAGGAAAGTGTAGGCAAGAGAATAACTAACAAGCTGTAGAGGGTGTTTAATGTCGGGAGCTGCTACCCTCCCGACCTACAGGAATCTATCTAGATTTTAAAAGCCATGGTAACCTAGGAAGAGAACGCTGCGAATAAGATCGTCCAGGGTCAAAACCTAAGACAAATATTTGATACACTTAACTTAATAAAGCCTCATTTTACTACAGAGGTTACATATCGTTTCTGGGTTCTCAGCCACAGACTTGTGAGAAAAACACACACCTTCACACAAGAAAACAAATGCTTTTGTTAGTTTGCTTCCTGCTTGATTGAGATCATCATTTGACCTCCAGCTCTTTGGGTGTGAGCCAGGGGCCTGCCACCGTATCTGCTGGTCTCGACTTTGTCAGCCCAGGCGGCTACACCAGGCGGTAGAAACCTCTAGCCTGACACATGACACCTGCCTATGGATTTGAGACTTGCAAGCCTCGTGTAAAACCACATGAGCCATTCTCTTGAAATCACTCTGTACATACTTATCAAAGCGACTGGTTTTGCTTCTCTAAAGAACCCTGACTAAGACATGTTTGACTGCTAAATGAAAGGTTGACAGTTCAAATCTTCCCAGAGGTACCTTAGAAGAAGAACTTTGATTTACTTCCAAAGTATGATCCACTGAAAACCCTGCGGAGCACAGTCCTACTAAGACACATACACGGGCTGCTGTGAATCGACTAGATGGCGTGTTAGTCTGCGTAAACTAGGGAAACAAATCCACAGAAACTCCTATGTATAAGAGAGTTTTACATAAAAGGTAAGTGAACATTAAGAAAGCTTCCCAACCCAGTGCTAAGACCATAAGTCCAACATTAGCCCATGTGTCCAACACTGATCTACAAAGTCCTCCTCCATCTCACAAAACACACGCAATGACGCTGACTGCAGGAGGAAAGTTGAATCAGTGGGCGTGTAAGCATCTCAGTGCTGGCAGGGGTCTCCACACAGCTGCTCCAGCACCCAGGGCTGCATCGGGTAGGTCCATATGGCTTCTCCTCAGGGATGTATTGCAGGCAGTAAGCCTTGCCAACTGAAGCAGGGAACTGGCTAAGGCAGCTGCACCCTGGTCTGACCATCAGAAAGCAAGAGACCTGAGAACTAGACGGGCGAGGCTTACTGAGCCATCTATTTCTCTGCCCTTCAATTAAGCTCACATGTGTTTATCGGCCAGGTTGGCACAATAAACCTTAACTATCTCAGATGGAAACTGGCTATAAACATGAAATTGGCCAACATCTGGGAAATTTGTCCTTCTGATCAAAATACGCCCCCACTCATCCGCCAATGAGCTGTACCATGGTGGCTTGCATGTTGCTATGATGCTGGAAACTATGCCACCAGTATTTCACACACCAGCAGGGCCACTTACGGTACACAGGTTTCAGTGGAGCTTGCAGACTAAGACGGACTAGGAAAATGGAGAGGTGGAGCCATTTGAAAATCGTATGTATAGTTGTAAAAGATTGTCAGATACAGTGCAAGAGGATGAGGCCCTTCGGTAAGAAGGCTGTAAAAATATGACCAGGGAAGAGCTGCCTCCTCAAAATACGGTTGACCTTAATGAGAAGAAACAGTTGTAACACCATTAATAACTGAAACATGGAATATGCAAAACAGAATATGTGAAGGTCAATATCCTCGGCATTTCTGAAATGAAATGGACTGTGCTGGCCATGCTGAATCAAACCATCATCTGGCTCACTGGGTTCACTGGAGTGCAGATGAAAACTTGAGAAGGTATGGCATCACATTCACTGTCAAAAGAATGCTCAAGTTCTACCTCGAAGTCAAATGCTGTCTGTAGTAGGATACTATCCGTATACCTTGAGGAAGACAACTACTATTCACTTTCATGTGCCAACCACTACAAACATGGTGAAAATGGTGAGACAAATGAAGAATTCTATCGATTTGCTTAGTCTGATACTGATCAAACATGCAATCAAAATGTACTGATAATTTCTGGTGATAAGAATGCAAATGTTGGAAACAAGAAATAATAGCTGGAAAATCATGCCTTGATCCTACAAATGAAGCTGGAGACTTCAAAGAAAGAATTTAATAATACCAGGATTCTTTGTGGCAACAAAGTTTATTTTACAAAAACATAAACAATTATATACTTGGAATTAACCACATAAAGGATAGAGAAGCTCAATATCACCAGCCAAAAGAGTGAAGGGGTGGAGTCTAGTTTGTTGGAGTCTGGTCTGTCAATTGGGTCATAGCCAATGAGGCCTCTATGTGGGCATGCCTCCCCTCCCCCCATATTGTGGGAACTCCTGCATTTCCTCCTTGGAAGCAGGGGAACTCTTCTCTCTGCTGCCTCCCTGTGAGACATCCCTGAGGAGAAGCCACATGGACCTACCCTGATGTGCTACAGCCAGAACCATGGACCTGGAGAAGACATGTGGAGACCCCTGCCAGCGCTAAGGTGCTTACAATGCCACTGGATCTACAAGACTTCCCACCCACTGACCTGTGATCTTCCTGCATTTGGCATCATTGCATGTGTTTTGTGAGACTGAAGGGGACTTTGTAGATTGGTGTTGGACA